GCCAGACCCTGGCCCTTCCCAGACGCCTCCCAGCCTGTGTCCTGATAGGTCCCTGCCAGGGAGGCCCAGCTCTGAGCTCCCCCAGGGCGGCGTCTGACCAGGTCAGGGAGGGACAGAGCCTGGACTCTAAGAAGGTCCTCGCATCTAGCTGGCTGAGCTGACGCTCCCCAGTGGCCGAGTGACTCACATCATGACTTAAACAATATTAGCCTCTCGACGCAGCAACCAGGAATCAAGAAGCCCGGCAAAAGGCAAAAGTTAAATTTAACCGATTTTGGCACCAGGCTGAATTTTCACCCCTCCGTCGCGCGAATCCCTATTTTTGTAGCACCAGGGAACAGAAACAACTGATTACACATTCCAGGCTGTCCAGCAAGCATTGTTCCCCCAAAGGGCAGTCAGAGCTCCTTTTCAATTACACAAATTACATGCATTTTCCCATTTGCGAAACTCTGTTTGGGAGCCCAGTTTTGAATAAGTTAAGGGATTACTGAATCCCTTGAGTGAATGTAGGCCCACTCCTCCAGCCCCTCCACCATCTCTAAAGCCAGCTCAGCCTCTCAGAGGTGGGGAGGGGGCCGGGAGGTCCCCAGAGTCTACTTTCCCAGAACGTGGAGGGAGGCAGAAGCTCCAAGGCTACTTCCGATCAAGATCCTGATCTTTGTTGCTCCACTTTCCTCGGCTGGCTCCACAAGCTGGGAGAAGTCTACTCTCCTGGGCTCATCCTGTGATTCTGCCTCCAAGGTCCCCAGAGCTCTCCAAACTGCCAGGCACCATCCAGTTCCCTGCCCCTTGGCGGCCCCATCAGTGTGCAGCTGGAGCCCTTGACCTTATGCAGTCCCCCAGCAGATGTCTAGGGTAGTGGTGGGCCGTGCTTGTCGGCAGCAATGCAGAGTGATCCTGTTGCAGTGGGGGCCGAGAATCTGTGTTCCCTCCCATGCCCTCCACCTCACCACGGTCACGTCCACGCTGGGAAGAAATTGTTGCCGCGGAGGGTTTTCAGGCTCCACAGCCTGCGCCCTGCACTTAGGTCAGTTCGGCACTCAGTGAGGACCTGCTGGGTGCCAGGCCCTGTGCTAGGCCCTGGGAACTGGGGGACAAAGAAAATGGGGGGCCCTTGCCCCCCAAGAAGCTTATATTCTAGCAGGGAACACCTGGAAATAGAATAAACCATCTCCCACAAAATGTAATTCCTTTAATGACAAAATATCGGATGCAACAGACATGACGTAGAACCACGCTTCCCAATCTTCTTTTCGCCATTACTCTCCTGAGAAGCCCTTATAGACATGTTTTCCTATCCCTGCACCGCTCATTTTAATGAAACCGAAATTTTAATGCCACAGATACTATAGATCTACTTATGTACCGTATGTATCTCTGTGCTTTGTACATAAAAAGAGTAGGATGTTTCGCTCCCTCCCCACAAGAACCAATTTACACTGACTTGTGGGAGATGGCCTTCACAGAGCAGGCTCTGTTGAGGAAGGAGCAATTAATTCACTCTGGGGCTATGGGAGGCACAGAAGGAAAGGGATCAGGGAAGGCATCACAGAGGAAGAGGTACTTATCCAGGGTTTTGAAGGATGAGCAGGAGTTCCTCAAAACAGAAAAGGGACTCAGCATGGAGCTTCCTTTGCTGGGCAGCCTGCGATCCTGCCTTCTTCCCAGAATCCCTCCTTCCTGTGGTAGTCAGCCTTCAAGATGGGCCCCAGTGATTTTCACCTCCCACTACAGCTTGTATAGTCCTCTTCCACACTAAATAAGTGCTAATTTGTATGACGAAGAGAATAAGGCATAAATGACAGTATGCAACTTCTGAAGCAAGGTCCTAAAAGACTTTTCCACCTCTGCCTTGGTCTCTAGATGAGTCGCTTTGGGGGAAGCCAGCTATCATGCCATGAGGACACTCTAGCAGCCTTATGAGAGACCTACAGGAGAGACACCGATGTGTCCCCCCATGTGAGGGAGCTGCTTGGGGGCTGATCCTCTAGCCCCAGTCAAGCCCTCAGATGATGCTAGAGTCCAGTCTCCAAATCTTCCAGCTAGACCCCAAACATTATGGTGCAGACATAAGCCATTCTCTGCGTCTGAATTTCTGACCCAAGGAAATAATGCAATAATGACTATTGTTGTTTCAAGCCACTAAATTTGGGCATGATTCATTATGCAGTGATAACTAACACGGTCCCGACTTCATAACCCAGTCTCCTGTCTTGTCAACTTCTCGAAGCTGGAGGCCTTCCATGCTCATGCTGAGGCCAGGCCGCTCTGGCCGGCAAGCCAGAGTCCTCAGCGTTGTGCTCCCTCCTGGAGCTCCTCAGAGAATTCTGAGGAGCAAACCATTCCAAGTGAGGCTATGAAAAGGTCCGGAAGCTCCCTGGATTCCTCTCTGTGTAGGGACTGTCCAGGGAACTTGGCCTGCCATGTCTGAGCAAAATGTCCATCTGCATGCAGGTCTTTCTACCCTCCATCCCTTCCTTCCTCCCTCCACCCCTCTGATCATTCAACAGACGCAGAATAATGTCTGTGGAGTGTTAAGCACTAGGAAAAACAAGAGGAACTCAGGGCCAGGTTCTGTCCTTACGGAGCGTACAACCCAGCTAAACATGCCCCCACAGGGGCAAAGCCCTAAGAGAGGGACAGGCAGAGGGCACGACGGGTGGGCTATGTACATGTTCTGCTAGAAGTAAATGCAGGGAAGTGAGAAAAAGAATTTTTAGAGGGGCTACCTTAGAGAGTACAGTAAGGAAAGGCTTCTTGGAAGAGGTAGCATTTAAGCTGGGTCTCCAAGGATGGGTGACACACTAGGCATGGGGAGAATGAGGCATCTCGGGGGTGGGGGGGACAATGTGGCAAGAAAGACCCAGAAGGCTGAGGAGTCGAGGTATTCAACTCAGGAAGCAGTAGGAGGCAGGGCAGGGGTGACAATACAACGAGGAACACTTAGTGCTTAGGATGGGCCAGGCCTGGCTCTAATCACAATTTCATCCCTGAATCCATACAGCCGTCCTATGAGATCAGTCCTCTCCCTCCCCTGATTCTACAGGGGAATCCCTATACAGGGGAATGCCTGGCCCTGCTGCCTAGGGAGTGGAGCGAGCTCTTCAGTTTTCAGGAAAGGAAGCTCAAACACAGAGAGAGTGACCCGACCAAGGTCTCACGGCTGTTTGCAGGAGCCACAGGGCTGGAAGCCAGGTGAGCGGCGCTGGGTCGCAGGCACGTGGTTAGCTCTGCACCATAGCATGCCGAGCTGCTCTTCGGGCCTCATCTCCTGCTGTATCCACCCACATTCAGCGTGGCCTGCTCAGGCCACAGTGAATGACTCACTGCTCCCCGGGCCCATGCACTCCCCCACCTCCAGCTCCTGAGCACCCCGTTTCCTCTGCCAGCAATGCTCTCCTGCACAGCTCCAGCTGTCCAACATCCTCTGCTCCTTTCCAGCCAGCCCCACGTTGCTCCTCTGGGAAGCCTTCCTTGCCCCTGGGCTGAGTGCATGGCCCTCCCTGGGACCTCACCCCCTTCCTCCTCATACCTCAGTCACGGGTAGCTCCAGCCTCCCTCTGAGCTGTGAGGTCGGGGCTCTACCCCCAGCACCTCATGTGAGCTCCTCAGTCAACAGGATTGCAGGGAAACCAGATCCTGCTGTGGTCAGGCTCCGCTGGCCTCCTCATTCTCACCCCGGCTCCCCACTGACCACGCTCCCGCCCCACTGCCCCGTTCTCCACTCCCTGAATGAGCCAAGTTCTTTCCCAGCACAGGCCATCTGCATCGACTATTCCATCGACCCAGCCAGCTCCTTCTCATGCTTTGGGTCTCAGCTCAAATGTCACCACCAAGAGGCCCTTCCTGACTGCCTTGGGGCGGTCACCACTAGTCCCATCACCCTGCTTATTTCCGTCCTGGCTGTTTCCTACCACAGTCTCAGCTCAAGACTCCCTGAGTTTAAATCCCTGCTCGGTTACCTAAGTGCTGAGCGTCCTTGAGCAAGTCACTAGGCCTCTGCGTGCCCAGGTCTTCTGATTTATAAAATGAGAATGATATAGCGCTTACAGCACAGAGCAGGTATAAGGATTGCATTAATGCAAATAAGCGCTCAGAACAGTGTCTGGTATGTTCTAAGTCTGGCACACGTATGACACAAGTGTTTGCTCTTAGATGATGACTTGCCTACTTGCTCACTGCCTACCTCCCTCCTAGCACGGAAGGGTAGGCGCCTATCTGTCCTGTCAGCACTGTCTCCCCAGAGTCTACCAAAATCCCAGGTGCAGAATTCTAGCTGTTGGATGGCTGGATGGCTGGATGGCTGAAGCAAAGACATGATCAAACTGCGTGGGCCACCCCTCATCTTTCCACACTCTTCTTCTCCCGTTCAAAACAACAGTTGACGCTGGTGAGTGTCGCCTACATCAGGCCATGCACTCCCTGGCTGGCTGGTGTATGACGTTAGCCAGTGTGAAGAGTGAACCCTGGCCAGGAGCCCCAGCAAAGGCTTGTGGGGGGGGGGGGGGGGAGCAGTCTTGGTGGACAAGACCACGTCAGTGGGGGAGGGGGGCTTGGCAGCGAGTAGGTAAAGGCCCATCTGATTAGGAAACAGTGAGAGCAGGGCTCAGAGGCCCGAAGGTACAAGATGCCTTTGGGGAAGGGTGAGTGGTTGCAAGGGGCCGAGGCACAGAGGGAGTGGCAGGGACAGCAGAGGACACTGGGCAGACGGACTGGCCGGACACTGGTGACAGAGTCAGGCTAGGCCGTCACTGAAGGACTCTGAACATGCAGCGGAGGTGTTGGGGCTACCTCATAGAGACCCACCATGTGGGCCGTGCCAGCACAGGCCTGGGGGTCAGGCCAGGAGGTGGGGTGGCGGGGGGCTGGGCAATCATTCATCCAGGGAAAAGTCAGGGAGGCCTGAACTGGGCAACTTAGGAGCCATGTTGCACAAGGAACCATTCCTGCAAAAGACTGGTGGCCAAAGACAACCAAAGGTGAGACCCGGACCTTACCTGCACCAGATTCCAGCCTTGGAGGGACTCCGCAATGATGGACGTAACGGATGGACAGACTCCTCCAAACACCATCAAGTGGTTCGGTCCGTATTTTATTGCATCGTAGAAGGCTTTCAACCCTTTTGCATTATCACACTGGAGAGCAAGAGACAGAAAGAGAAGCCCGAATTAGAAACAGCTTTCCCCAGGGACAGGGGCCCAACGGTGGATTCACACAAACAAATTTCCTCATGAGAAACCTGCTGGGTTTCAGCTCCCCCACTTGGGAGGCCTCTCTCTAAGCCAGCCAGTAGCCCAGGCTATAAGCTCAGTGAGTGTGATGTTGGAACCCCCCCATCCTGGCTCTCCTCCCGCTGAGCACCTTCCCAATCCAGGACCGCTGGCTCTCCGGCAGAGCACACAGAGGAAAGGGCCCCCCAATGCCTCACTCTGGGGTCTCCCCCTTCCTGGAGTCATTTACATGTCAAAAGGGGACAAATCCACACCCATTAGAATGGCGATCATCAAAAAAGCACAAAATGGTAAGTGTTGGCGTTGCTGGTGGGAACGTACAACATGCAGCTGCAGGAAGAAACAGTACTACAAGGCCTCAAAAAGGTTCACTGGGATTGCTATGCGAGTCGGCATTCCACTGCTGGGTAGACAGCCCAAAGGACCGGGAGCAGGGACTCCAAGAGGTATTTGCACACCTTTTGTATAGGGGGACAGTGATGAAGGGATAAACAAAATGTGGCATATGCACACAACGGGGTATTTTTCAGCCTTAAAAAGGAAGGAAATTCTGACACGTTCTACAACACAGATGAACCTTGATGACATTATGCTAAGTGAAACAAGCCAGATGCAAAAGGACAGTTATTGTAGGATTCCACTTAGATAAGGCCTCTAGAGCAGTCAGATTCATAGAGACAGAAAGGAGAATGGTGGCTGCTGGGGGGGCTGAGGGTGAGGGGAATGGGGAGTCAGTGTTTAATGGGTACAGAGTGTCAGTTTGGGAGGATGGAAACATTCTGGAGACCGATGGTGGTGATGGTCACACAGCCATGTGAATGTACCTATATGACACTCTTTTGTGCACTTAACAAATGGTTAAAATGGTAAATTTTATGTTTTGCATATTTTATCACAATAAAAAAAGAAGGAAGAAGAGGGGGAGGAAGAAGGGGAGGAAGAAAAGGAAGAGGAGGAGGAGGAGAATCTAGGGGGAAGAATTCGCTCAGCAAACACTTGCCATGCACTGCTGTGTTCAGTCCAGGGCTGGGTACTTAGTAACATACAAGTTGGACCCGGCCCCCTGCCCAGGCGCTCACATCCTAGAGCGGAGAACCGAGCCCTAAAACAGATCCAGGCGATCCAGTATGGAAATGAACAAGGACATATTGTCCTCAAATATCGGGAGTCAGTTAGGACTCACTTCCACCTGCACCTCCATCATTCAAGCCATGTGGTCATCTCTTCCGTGTACAGAGGTAGGCGCCCAGCCGGGCTTCTCGCTTCCCCGGGGGCCCAGGTGAGCCTGCTCACCACCCAGCCGCCGTCGGAAGGTGCTTTGTAAAACATAAACCGGTCCTTTTGACTGTCCTGCTTTCCATGCGCTTAAAGCCCAACTCCTAGCAGAATATAATTCTCAAAAGGTTAAAAACATACTTCTTATGAAAATCGATAGTGGGTACGTGTCAACCTTTTATTTAACTCATTAATAGGGGGATCTGCAGGATGACAAAGTGGATTCAAAAGGAAACCTGAGACAGGGATTTTTACAGTGAATGGAACAATAAGAAATAAGGTAAGACTGCCAAAATAGATACAAAACGGGTTAACGTCCTGTAAGGCAATAAAAATAACCTTTGGGGACAGAAAAGAAAATCACTACAGGCTGGCACATCTTGTCAGTTGTAGAGAACCAGTAGCTATTCTGTCTTCAGCATCAGGGTTCCATGTGATGCTTAATTTGAGAAGGGCATTCTATTGCTAGCAGCATAAAATGCCTGGAAACCAGGAAGGGGAGCACCCCAGAGGTCCCTGCCCGTGTATGATCTTTGTCTTTGGCCTAGGGAAGGGCAAAGGCTGGATGAGCCGGTCACTTGAGCACACTCTCTCAAAGTTAATCCACTGCACATCAGTTTGCCCCATAATCAATTCACCAAATCACTGGGGGAATTTCTCTAAGTTTGAGTTTCCTGAGGGACTCCTCGCAGACACTTCACACGGCCATTTCACGAGGCTTCGTCCTTCCGGCTCCGGTGAAAGTCAATTTCACCTGTGTCTCACATTTCAGTCCTTTCTAAAGGCTGCACTCGGAGACGTTCCCCTAATGCCTGTTTATTACCGTCCTCCTCTTGCAGACTTCAGACCCGCCCCTGCATGAACCAGGGAGATGCCAAAGCTTCTCTACTCCCTCCATTTAAGGTGTCTGTCGGACGGCTTTTAGTGAGCTGGTCACTGGGCAAAACTATCATTCTGAGAAATTGTTTATGGCAAGTTGTCTTTGAGCGCTTTGGCTTTTGATGAATTGCTCTCAGAGCCCCCTATAAGGGGGTTCTTGTGTCCTGGAAGAAAGCTATGGGCTTTATCATGTTCTCCGACTTTCCCACCTCTCCAACTAGAGCCCTCCCACCCGCTCACATTCTCATGCAGTAGTTCAAAGCTTATCGATGGGCCACAGCCTCTGATCTGCAGTTCTGCGACCTGGACATGGGCCCTGGCACACAGTAGACCCTCAGGAACTGTTGCTTCCCCCGCCCCCACTCCTCTTCCCTCTCCAGTATGTTTCCTCTTTGCCCTCCACGGACTCCACACCTACAGCAGTTCACGGTCACTGCCCCCAAACTCCCTGCCCTGATTTCACTTCCGATGGCCCCTTTTTCCTGGTAAGGACACACTTGTCACATATAGGCTCTTAAAATTCAGCACCTATAAATGGGAATAGATCCAAAAGCCATGCAAATCCATTTTTTTAATGAAAAAGTAGAACTCGAATACATCCCATTTTTCATTTAAATCTCATTTTTAAAGAATTAAAATACTTTTTTTGACTTAAAAATTTCAAAGCAAATGTTGCTGAGAGTTAAAATGTAAAAATGCCAAGGAAATGTCAGAGTTAATAACGACCAATTTGAAACTGAGAATTACTCCGTACAGAATTTCAGACTTTAAGAAGAATTTGAACACTGATGTGTCCAACCTGCCCCAGATACAAAGCCCTCCTCCATGCCCCCTGCTCCAGGAGCAGTTGGCATCTGCTTACATCTCTCCAGTGGCAGGAGTCTCACTCCTTCACGGGGGAGCTAAGTTGTCTTTGGCCAGCTCTGCTTCTTATGAAGTCTTAAATATCACCCTCCTTTTGCATTTCTCTTTCAAGTTCTCATCCTAGAGCAAAGGTCAGCAAACTTTTTCTGTAAAGGGCCAGGCAGTAAATGTTTTAGGTTTTGGGGACCATATGGTGTCTATTGTGACTCGTCAACCCCTTGTAGCCCAGAAGCAGCCACAGACAATACATAAACAAATGAACGTGGCTGCCCACCCCTGCTCTGGGGCGTTTTAGAATTCGTACAGTCTTCCATTCCCACGAGAGCCCTTCAGACACCTAAACTAGGGCAGCCTGACTTGACTGCAGAAGATACTTTCAGGCCAAACGACCTCTTCTAATCATCCCCATAGGATATAGTGTCACACCCTTTCCATCTGTGGTCACCAGAGGCTTCAGAGGACAGACATTTCTAGGATGCACCCCCCCCCCAAATACCTCCATCTGCCCGGCACAGAAAAGGGATGCTAGCTAACACGCATCATGAACGCATCATGAACTCACTCTGTGTTCGGCACAGTATTAAGAACTTCATGTAAATTACCCTATTTGTTACAATACTGTTATAAGGCAGGTATACTATTATTATTTCCACCCTTACAGAGAAGGAAATGGAGCTCCAGAGAAGTTATAACTTGTCCAAGGTCACATAAAGGGTAAGGATTCCATCCCAGGCAATGTCACTTCAGAGCACTATTTTATTTTAAATAATGTTATTATGAAATATTTGTAGAAAAGAATATACCATATACATACAACTTACATAAAATATGAAAAATAGTAATACGAACCTATGGTATACCCAACACCCAGCTTGTGTGGAAGCCTCTGTGTGGCCACCCTGAGGATCACCCCCTCCTTCACCCAGGGGGCACCCCTAGTCTGAATTTATCCTTCCTTGCTTTTCTTTTTTAAGATTTTATTTATTTATTTGAGAGAGAGAGAGAGAGCACAAGCTGGGGGAGAGGGAGAAGGAGAAGCAGGCTCCCCAGTGAGCAGGGAGCCGGATGTGGGGCTCAGTCCCAGGACCCCAGGATCATGACCTGAGCCGAAGGCAGACGCTCAACCGACTAAACCACCCAGGTACCCCTTCCTTGCTTTTCTTTATTGTTTTATTACATGTCTATGTTTCCTAAACACTATATCATGTAATTTTACTTGTTTTTGAATGTATATATATGTAGAATCATGCTGTATATTTTGCCTGAAACTTGAACTGAAAACCTCTTAATGGCTTTGTGTTGTTTGTGAGATGTTTATTGCTGAACACGGCAGTTCATTCATTTTCAGGGCTGTGTAGTATTCCAGGGCAGGAATATGCCATGGTTTATTTGTTCCTTGCCCCGCTGGTGGACACTTGGATTATTACCAGTATTTTGTTTGGTTGCTGTTGTAAATAAGACGCTTAAAAATTTCTGTATGTGTCCCCTGGCACATACGTGCAGAGCTCCCCTAGCGTCTAAACCTGGAAATTGAATCGTTAAATCACAGGATTTCCCACCTTTTTACAAAGCGGTTTTATCCATTGACACTCCCACTGTCAGCGTTTGAGAGGACTCCCTACTCCACATCCCTATCAACCTTAATTTTTGCCAATCTTGTACATACTGATGTCATTTCAATTTGTCTGTTCCTGATGATTAAAGAGGATAAGCCATCTCTTCATATGTTTATATGTGTTTTGTTTCTTCTTTGGGACCAGTGACTTTGCTCATTTTTCTGTTGGTTGTATTTTCCTTATTGATTTGTTCAGAGCATGCCTACACACAAGGCTAAATTGAACGAAATGATCACCTCCCACATTCTGAGCACGGACTTCTATTAATGC